TAGCTTAATCAGAAATTATGTAAAACCACAGTGCTTTACTTTGCTAGTGCATTCTGATTAGAATTAATGAATTTAACCTTTGACTTTGCCTTTTCTATATTTTTGCCATCGGTGAGCGGTATGATAGCATCCTAATTTACATAATTACCGCCCGCGAACGCCACCAGCGGCCGAGCGGTAACGTCGCTGAACACTGGTAGTTCGGTCCGAGGTTCGAATCCCACGAACGGGCTGGCTGCATGGGTGTTTTCGTGGTTTTCCCCATGTGTAACTTGTATACGAGCCAGTTTCCCTTATAAAGTCCTCCATAAAGGCATCCCTCCCTTAAGGCATATAGCCCTCGAGTGCTTTGCCCTAATCTAATAAACCAAACCAAACGCCCGCGAATCACCTTAGGGCATAAAATTGAACTATCTGGTAAAAATTCTATGTAATTGTATGCCAGTATTGAAAGGAACAATCAATCTGATAAGAAATGGCTGTGACTTCTTTTGAAAATGAGATGTAAAAGGTTACCAGCAAGGATATTCCATTTGGCATTGGTTGTACCATTACTGGCGACTTTATCGCCTGCGCTGGCAAAACGGAAAAGTACCCAATTTTTTTATTCTTTGTTCTTAGGGAAAACATTGTATTTGTAAAAAAATCCAATGCTTTCTTTCTTATAAGTACATAGACTCTAGAATTCTATTGTAATTCATTATGATAAAAACAGTATTTGTCAGTGAAATGACGTTTAACTATAAAATATGTAAATCCATTTGTACATGCTGCCTTTGGTCGCATTTGTTCCCAAAATGCATTAAAAAGAAAAAAAAAAAAAAAAAAAAAAAAAAAAACTGCCACTTTTATAAAATGCTGAAACTACGGGGTTGGATAATCAGAGAATACTTAAATATTTAGTATTTGAATGAGACTTGATTGTGTATGCTTCATATAAGCTTTGTTCCAAAAACAATGTACCATTCGTAATGTAACACAAAATAAAGTATATTAAATTACTGTTGACAATTTCAGTTTCGTGCATATTTCATAGCTGATTATACACATGTAATATGAATATATGCCAGTTTTCAATGGAAAGTACTACACAAGGACATCATCTATACCCCAAGGTAGATAGCCTGAGCAGGCATTAAACCAGAAACATTCTACCTTACACTATTCATTTAACAAATGTGGCAAAGTTTGGTACACTTCTGTTATCAGGACCAAATTCAGAAATGTGTGTATGGATGAATGCGTTCACATATCATGTATCCTGGTGTGCAAAATTAAGGAAGTCGAAAATTAGCATATCAGCTGAACGAGAGGCGAGCGGACGAAAGACCATATAGATTAGTAAGGTGATTACGTAGCACATGCGCAGATTGCAGGTAGACGTAATGGGTTAGAGTGTCTGAGTAGTATAAGCATGTTGTCGATGTAAATCAAATTTCTGGCAAAGAGATGCACAGCCGTATACACTTAAACCCACACCGAGTTTTGCTGCCTCACGGAATGGCGAATCAATCTGTTAGACACATCTGGATGCTTTACCGGTCGATCATTGGAAATGGAGTAAGGCCGCATTTGACAGTGTGGCTGCAGAGTTCGAATGCTCACAGCATCGTTTCACGACTTTGGAGACAATTTCAAACTACAGGAACAGCTATCCGGGGTTAGTAGTGGTCGTCCACGAGGAACCACACCCAGACGACCGGTATATTGCCTTACAGGCCAGAAGAACAGGCGGCAGACAGCGGGAGAAATCGCTAGACACCACGCCTGGACGAACGATATCGTGTTTTACTTGGCCAGAAGACTGCACGGTGGTGGTCTGTTAGCACGACGCCCTGTACGGTGTGTACCTCTAACGCCTGCCCATCGGAGAAGGGCTCTGTGGTGCCGGGAACACCGGAATTGGAGAGACAATGAATGGGGACGAGTACTCTTTACAAATGCGAGCAGATTTAGTCTGAGTAGCGACATCGCATACACATCTGGAGAGAGCGGAGAACACGCAATAACCCCCGACATTACCTTCGAAAGGGACCGGTTTATAGGTCGTGGAGTTCTCGTTTGGGAAGGCATCATGCTTGTAGTCGTACAGACCTTCACATCTTCGACGCAGTTCAGTCAACGGACCCGTTATTGTAACGAGATTCTTCTCCATATGTGCGTCTTTTTAGAGGCGCTATGGGTCCGCAGTTCCTTTTAATGGACGACAATGCACCATGTCATCGCACAGTAGCTGCCGAACAGCTCTTAGAGAGGAGGATATTGAACGTATGGATTGGCCGGCACGATCTCCGGATCTCATCCCATCGAGCATGTATGGGATTTTCTAGGCAGACGCTTGGCAGCTCGTACCTTACCACCATAACGTCCGGAGCTTCGATTGGCGCTGCAAGACGAATGGGCAGCATGCCTCACACTCATTGACACCCTCATTCTCAGCATGGGCAGACGCTGTGAAACCTGCCTAGCAGTCAGGGAGATCATATCCCCTATTAAAGACCGGATGTTTCTCTGGACATCCATCACGGGATGTTTCGGCCTCAGTCGCATTGCGTTCCATGCTACTTTTTCAATAGCTTTTTTTTATCCCTCTGATTTCTCTTTTAGTAAGTGTTGCTTACATTACTCATGTCCTTACGTATTGGGGATCTTGCGGTATTAAATGTGTTGATTTGGAAAGCTTTTGTACAAAGTTATATTGAAAAAAACCGTCTCGTCCTTAATTTTTGCACACCAGTGTATATGTACGTATGGCATGTATGTTTGTGTATAAACACACATATAAAAGTGCATACACACACATACGTTTTTGAATCCAGTCCCGATAATAGAAGAGTACATAAATTTTTCTATATATAACATTTATGTGTGTATTTTTTTATAAGTAACAATATTTCTGATTTGAATCAGTTGCCATCAACAATGTCAAGGTCATGTGAAAACTAAAGAATAATTAATAGATTAAGATGTAATCATATTTAAAAATTTTCTTTACTGGTAACTGTTTGTTATTCATAGAACATTATACTTGTATTTTCTTTTATTAAATTAGTAACAGTTAAGAATTGTTTGCGTGTGGTTCTATTTTTAGTATTTACTCTGTGACATACTGAATTTTATTTTTATTTGGAAATTGAATAAATTAATTGTGATGGTGTGTGCTGAGAAATGGAATTTTGTGAAGAATATTTAATACTTGCCAATAAAAATAGGAATAATTTTAAAGTTTCTATCAACATTTTTAATATTGTTATCAAAATGAGACTTTAAAAATTCTTTTTTTTGTGGTAAAATGTGAATTACATTAAAAGGGTATCATTTGATTTTAATTCCTTTATGAAAATAGTTAACCTAAAAGACACATAGATCTCATTAACATATGAAAAACATAGCTCAAGTAAGTTTTATAGACATACTGAAAAAAAGAATATTCAAAGATGTTTTAAAGAAAAGAAAGCTGTACACTATACAGTGGCTCCCTAAAGTGTTCGTATACTTATGATTTTCATTGAAATAGAGGCTCTATCCATTAATTAAAAGTAAACTTTCTGAATCAGAATTTAATAATAAGATCTATAATCTATTCGTAACAAAATTACATGAAATATATTTTTTTTAATATAGCGAAACTTTATTTTTAAGAAATTAATAATAAAAAAAAGGCAAACATTTTTATCTCACAAAAGTCTTCGGTACACTGAAATATTTTTGGATAAAGTCAAAATCAGAATTATCGTTTGCCACTTTTTTTTTTTAATTTTTTCATTGTAGCGGCATTTAAAAAATCGTTTGCTTTAATTTTTTTATTGTTTACTTCATAATATTGTATTTATTATTGAAAAATGGGTCGCAGTCACAAAAAAATTACAAACAGCATTCGAAAATTGATAATTTTTCACCATAGTAGTGGTAAATCAATTTGAAATATCGCTAAATTAGTTACCTAGTCCTAATACTGCCATGCCCCCGCCGCCAAATGTCATTTTTTGATTATTAATTTCTTTAAACTAAAGTTTCGCTAAATTAAAAAAATATTTTATATAATTTTGTTAGGAATAGATTATAAATCTTATTATTAAAGTCTCATTCAGAAAGTTTACAGAAAGTAATCTCATTCAGAAAGTTTTTTAATGGCTAGAGCCCTATTTCAATGAAAATCATTATTGTCACCGACTTATTTTGTGAGATATTTAATTCAGAGATTTAATAAATAATTTAATAATGAAAATAGAAGCTATTTTATGTATTAGGTCAACAAATACCAAATTCATTTGTTACTTTGTTTTTTATTTGACAATATTTCATTTCACATTTATGACTTTTGTTTCATACAATATGGCAACACTATTTAGTAAGCAAAGAATGTGCTGCCTTAATGACAAAGGTGCTTGAAGAGCTTGTAGCAGCTGTGTACAATGATGTTTATAATGTTTTCCTGCTGCAGTACCCAACTGATTTCGTTTCAATGCCGTGTTCCTTCGGAATTTCTCCCAAGACACTGGGAAGTACTGTTTAATCCAGTAGAAACCCAGTAAAAACTAACTTAATATCTGAGTTTTACACTTCCGTTGATAACGCACTTCTGGGCAAAGAATATGTATTGTACATACACGTTTTTTTCTTCTGGATTCCGATTTGGGAAATTGTAACTCGTTACCTGAATTCGGCGCATTTTTGAAATCCAAAGGGCGGCCGATAAATCGCCAAGGCCCGGTTATCTGAAACGTGCCCTGAACTCCTTGCGTCCACCTTTCCCGTCGTCAAAATCTGCGATTATCGGTACGTCTATCTGAAAGTAGTGGGTTGAGGCAAGTGTTTTAGGCCCGGGGAATCGTTAATAAATTATTTGATAAAATATTTATTGTTCAGAATTCTTGGAAAATTTCAATTTTGGCGTCGTTTACATATGCCAGCTGCTCTGCGGAAGTGTTTTCTTTAAAAGCGATGTAAATAACTTCAGCACACTATATTGGAAGTATTTGTTTGGTAAATTAAAAGGTATGAGTCTTGCAAAATATTCTGTTGCTGAATTGCACATGGCTATCATATATAAGGATTTTGATTCACTCTCTCGGATTGTGCAAACGAATAGAAAAACACTGGATTCCCTTTGGAGGGGACTGACATCTGTAAGCCTTGCCTTACAGCTGAATTCATACAAAATTTTGCAATATTTAGTTGAACATGGTGCAAATGTCAATATCAGAACTTCGGATGATAAAATGGAACCTGCACTTTTTCAAGCCTGTCGCCTACAGTCTTTTGTAGGAGTTCGTATTTTATTATGTTCATCTAACCTTAATATAAATCAAAGAGACTTTTTTAATCGAACTCCGTTGTGGGCAGCTGCCAAGTATTCGTCACCTGATATGGTCAATTTGTTATTAGAACACGGTGCCGACGTTAGTGTTGCATCCAAAATATCCGAGTGTCCACTTTGTGTTGCGTTGGGCAGACCTAGGCAGAAAAAAATTGCTCAAGTGTTAATACGTCGAGGGTGTAACTTAAATGCTGGCCAGAATGTTCCTTTAGAATTAGCATTAAAATTTAATGATCGCGAGACATTTTGCCTTTTAATTCGTGCTGGTTTTTCAATAGCAAAATGGTTTTCTGCAGATATATTGCCTTTTCAGTGGAAGGAAGATGTATCATTTTACAAATGGATTGTTTCGCTGACAACTAAACCACGTAATCTGTTACACCTATGTGTTTGTTATGTTCGTGAACTATTGGTATTTAGAAACCAAAACATAAGGTACTGTCATGTAAATCAGCTACCTATTCCTTATTCATTGAAAAACTTGATTCTTTTAGAAGATTGAAGTTACTACATATCGTTTATCTGAATTTTAGTAAAAACTTTTATCTGAATTTTAGTGAAGTATCCCTATTTAGTGAGCATGGAACAAGGAAGATTTTTTTTATGATAATTACATTGTTCTGTTTCACTCTGTCTCTTGAATATCAACTTATTTGATAATTCGTCTTATTTATTGTAATGTTGCTCATTAAAATTATCATAATATCGTGAAATATAGATATCAGTTTGATTCTGCATTCTCTATATATGTAAATTTTATATAACCAAAAGAAATCATTCTGAAAGGTTGTAAACACTCTTTTACTTAAATTCAGATTCACTATATGGGACGTAACTAGTCCAGAGATGATATGTAAAGTCAGTTTTGTGAATGTTTGCATGTATAATAGTTGATAAATGATGTGAACTGTGTGAAAATACATGTACTTGAAAAGAAAAAAAAAAATATTGTAGTGATAGCTTATAAAAGATCAAAACACATATTATATAATTTGTTTCCTGGAGTTAGATACTTAACAGTTTTATGTATTTTCTAGTTACCTTACCTGCTGTAGTAACATACTGAGATTAATATTTTAAAAAGTAGTTGATTTTTCATTTTCATCAAAATACGTTGTATTGCTAGTATCATTATTAAAAAGGATTTCTGACAACAATTATAAATCATTTTTAAGCCTTGATACTCATTCTGCCAAAGGATCTACAAAGCGAAAGCATGTTTCGATGTCCATCAAACAAAAAGTGGATAAAGGCATATCCTTTGTTTCTCTAAAAATTCCGAAATCTGTTTATCAATTTCACGCTGCTCTGCAGGGAAGAAACGTTGCGGCGCACAATGAACTAGAAGTTGATCCGTCAGCACTATCTTCATCTTCAGGGCAGATGTTTTTATTTTATTCCACTTATAATTCCTTACTAAATGTAGTATTTCATCTCGATGTATGCCAACGATTATAAGTTACGGAGTGCCTGTGGTTCAAAACCACGTACCTCCACATCAGAAAAATATCTAAGTAGTGAGCAGAAATAGGAAAATTGCATAATTGGTAATCATGATGCACACTAGAGGGCTTATTAGCTCAAGAAAGTTTAGGGATGGGAAAAATCAAGTTTTGATTTTTTTGGAAGTTTTATGATTTTAAACTTTTTTATATTTTGTATTTATTTATTTTAATTTATAACACACAAATACAACACTAAAGGAAAGATTTTACAGATTAATAGGCTCATTGGCATATGGCACTAATCATAGCGAAGTAAAGATTAAATTTTTGCGACGAAATATCCAGGGCAGCGGGCATGATGTGATTAAATAGTGAACAGATTGATAAGAATGCAGAGGTGGCCACTTTTCAGTAATACTGGAGTAGGAGAATGGTACAGCAATTACATTGCTAAGTACGTCCTTCATGGGCTGGGCGCTGGAACTGAGAACAGATTCCATTCCATATACCGCTTTTATACTGGGCCTAGCCTGCATGGAACTACAGGCTACGGGGGTGTCTATGCCTTTTAGATGGAGGATAGATACCGTATTCGCATCCCATGATGGAGCGAGATCTTTTCTCTTTTCTGCAAGCTGCAAATAGCAGGATCGTAGGCCGGTAACAGTTGAAGTTCACGGTTATCAGTCTGTTCAATTTTGAGGGAATAAATTTTGACTAAGTTTATTTAATGAACAGCATCTATGGGTTTAATGACATTAATAGATCCGCAATGAAGGACTAAACGCAGGGTCTTACTTTGGAAGCCTTGAAGTTTTTTTATGTGTGTTTTTGCAGCTGTACCCCAGATGGTGCAAGCATACAAAAATATTGATGATGATGAAAGATCGAATGATGGAAGTATAGAGAAGAGCTTTGTTTCTGATTGACAGAGGGCTCTTTTGGCCTAGAAGGGAGTAAAGTTGGGTTCTGACGGTCTTCGCTTTGAGTGTATAATCAATATGAAGACGCCAGGTTAATTTCGAATGAAGTATCACTCCTAGATACTTATATGAATTTGACCAGGGACATAGTCATCGAAGAACTTTATGTTAATGGTAGAGTACGAGATTCGGGAGCGTGTGAATATCATGGCAGCACATTTAGCAACGTTAATTTTGATTTTCCAAGTAATGAGCCAGTGCTCAAGGCTATGGAGATAACTCTGAACATTGTAAACCAGAACATTCAAATGTTTGTGTTTTGTTAGGATGGCCTGTCATCTGCATAGAATACTAGAGTAACACTGGGTGATTTTGGAATGTCGTTGATAAAGATGTTGAATATAGTCGGTCCACCTTGAGCTACGCCACTTAGGATTGTACGGGGAGCCGAAATGATAGAATTAACTCGTACTGATGATTAGTGAGATACGAGTTAATTATGTGAATAAGTTGAGCTGGAATACCAAGTCGCATGAGCTTGATAATAATACCCTTATGCCAAGTCCTATCAAATGCTATGGCTATGTCAAGAAAAAGGGCGCCAATAAGCATTTTGCTACGAAAGCCTTCATGAATGAACTCCACTGTCCTCAGAAGCTGGTGCGTTGTGCAGCGTTTTGCTCAAACCAAATTGCTCGTCAATAAGGACCTTTTTGGGTCCGGAGAAAATCATTCAGGCGTTTAAGTAACACAAATTCGTAAATCTTTGATAACGAAGTTAGGAGGCTGATAGGTCTATAATTTTGAGGATTTAAATGGCACTAGCCAGGTTTCGGAATAGGCACAATAAGTGCTCTCTTCCAGCTTAGCAATGCAGTAACATATAATTTATGAGTATTACTAAGAAAAATAGATAGCTGGTGGGTAGGTATTTAACATGCGGTTAGAAATAGAGTCCAATCCAGGCACTTTCTTAGGATTTAATTTAGCGATATATTCGCTAACTTTGTGCATGGTTGTTTGTTGTGTGTCTCTCTGACATGAAGAGTTTAGAAATCTTTCAACATCTAGTTGGAAGGAATTTGCGGTATTAGCAAAAATCCCTTCATTATGTGGTGTGAATTGTGTTTGGAGACTGTCAGCAATTAATTCAGCTTTCTCCGTGTCTGTATGAGCCAACATTGCGTCCTTAGCTTAGGACGGAACGTGAGATTTATGTTTTCGAAGTCTGGCAGATGCACGCCAAAGACTGTTATCTGTGGTCGTTAGGGAGTGAATGTGATTAGAGTATCGTGATTGATTGAACTGGTCAGATGAAGCCTTGATCTCATTTTGGAGAGCACGGAGTTGTAATTTTAAGTCAGGACTTCTAATTCATTTCCAAAGCCTTCGTACTTACTCTTTTCGTAAATTTTGAGTTTGATTTCAGCTGGAAGTTTATTAAAATTGGGGCGAAGGGTGGGTTTTGATACTTCTTTAAAAGTATCTGTTAGGATAGAAGTTAACTGGTCAACAGCCTTGCCAATATCGTCACTGGATTTAGTTTCGTGGGAGTGAAAACTCTTACTGTTAAGTTTATATCGAAAATTGTCCCAATTTGTAGAGACAAGTGGCGGAGAATTTTGATTAAAAGAATTACAGTTAAGGTCGATGAGTACGGGGTTGTGATCTGAGGATAGACAACTTTCCACAGTCACGTGATAGTCAAAAGGAATATTTCGAAAAAGCCAAATCAATACAAGAAGGGGCTCCCCGTACATCATATCGTGTGGGTGAATTCGGCGGTGTAATTTTAAATTGGGTGCACTGAGCCCGTTACATCAGTCAGATGTTTATATTGTCTTGGGAAGGAAGGAAAAACAGGTGTTGCGCTGATGCGACATCAGCAGGCAACGGGTAATGAATCTCCTTTTTCACTCATTCCTTTTGATGTTCTGGTTCATGTTCTGGCTGCTTTAAAAATGCCTAGAATGAGGTATTGTACATTAGAAGAAGCCCTTCAAAGATTTTTTGATGAAGAAACAGATGATGATAATGTTAATAATGACCAGAATGAAGTTGATATTGTTGTTGTTCCCCCAGAAATATCAAAATCTACTGATGAAGAAGAAAGTAATGACAATGTTTTAAATTATGATAATGATATTTTACCACATGATACTGCTGGGGAAGTTGAAATTCACATAAGAAGTTATTGCATCTGAAGCCTATATGAGAAGATTTATTGGAGTATTATTGCTTACAGGACATCATTCTTTACCTCAAAAAACATATTGGTCTTTTGATAGGACATTTCTGTTTCTGCTGTGCGAGAATTGATATCACGTTTGCAGTACAGGAATATGAAGCAGAATTTGCATTTGACAAGTCAAATTGACAATAGTGATAAATTATATGAGGTGAGACCGTATCTAAACTTACTAAGTATCACCACTTTTTACTACTGGAAATATAAAGTCTCTTTTAGACTTCAGACGTGAGAATGCATTTTTACTTTTGCAAACTCCTATTGAGAGTGTAGAATTAGCCAGAAATAGATCAGCAACAGACCTAGTAAATTCTGGATTCAAAAACCATTGCATGGAGATAGTAGACATTTTATCTTTAATCCGTCGATAACAAAAGACTTTGTTGTAAAGAGTACCATAGCCAGACTGTTTATAGATGCAAAGTATGTAATGTAGCTTTACATCATGATTGTAATCAAGCTTTTCATGCTTGAATCTTTCAATTGAAATAATTTGTATTTGTAAAAGAAATATAATGTATATTTTAATATCAAATATATTACAAGTAAAGTGATTTGTAGATTTATAAAACGTTATACAGCTAAAAAGTAATCCAGTGCTCCACTCAAAGGAAACATCGCACGAGTACAATCCTATTCACTAAACATAAGTAGTTTTATTCCGCTGACGTTGCGCGAACGCAACACTCACTTTTTCCACAGGTAAGAGCAATTTTTTTTTTATTTTCAATGTAAATTTATGTTAAAAATGCTTAATTTAATATTTGTTATTATTTTCATGAGAAAAGAATCATTCCTTGTAGTTTTGGCAGTTAATGGGTTAAATCAAATTCCTCGTCATTATAAATATCACGAATGCACATCAAATAGTTTTCTAGTTGAAATT